CCAGAACCTCTGCTCCTTCCTTCTCCTTGGTTAAACCTTGGAACCCCAGTCGAAATTCTCACAAACTGCTCTGTTCTCACAAACTCCCTCTGTAACTCTCTCTATTTAGTAGACTTTTCCGTGTAAAAGTTACGACAATATGTAACCCTAGGTTTAACATATACTGAGGTATTTATAATTGCAAAATTAAAACCCTAATCCACAGAGCCCTAACTTCGTCGGCCCACAAAGTAAATCAGTTTAGATACATATCAGATGCTTACGAGACGGCTCCAAAAACCCTAACTAGAACGTATCTAAAACTCTAGTTAATGGGAAATACATAATTACCCTGTTCAAAAATTAAATACTTAATAAATAATTAATTTAATAAAACCCATTAATTAAATGAAATAAGCAAGCAACGAATCACTTAAAACACATAAAATAAATAAAACAATTAATTAAAATAAACCAACAAATAAAGAATTACACCCTTAATGAAAATAAACAAACAATTGGACACATAAGCATATAGATACAAAATCAATTTAATATGCACAAAAATAAAATTTAAATTCCATTTTTATCCCTTTGGAAATTAGGGGTATTACAAGTAGAGGTTGTTCGTGCTGAGCGGGGATCAGTCTACTTCATTCTTCCGATGCTACATAGGAGTTCCTTTATGATTTAGTTTCCTGTTTCAGATTACTATCATTTGTTTAGTTTGGATTTTTTAGGGGTCCACACAGTATGGATTCCCGAGTTGTATTTTGGAGGATCAGTTATTTCAGAAGAATTTATTAATTAATGGAAATATATTATGAGGTTTATTATTAGATTATCATTTTAGTTTTTTGTCAGCATTTTATTTATTCTTCTTTATTCTTTTGTACTATGTGTTCGTTTATTATCAATTTGTTTTGATATCCTCGGGTATTCGGGCGTGGGCCTGGCGAACCCGCATTCGGAAATTCGGGGGTATCACAGAGTAGGACTAATCAGAAGTGGATGGATGGGTGAAATTACCAACATTGGTTGGAATTTTAAATTCCATATGGAATAAGAGTGGTGGATAGAGCAGGTTGCTTGTGGATATTACTTCTAGTAGTAATTACTTGGGGAATTTCTTATCAATTCTACACTACACTGATAACGGAGTTATAGCATGTGGTTATTCCTTATAAGGAATACAAGGTGCTATATCAAAGGAAATTTTCGGTAGGTGTTGGAGCAACAACTATGCTTCGCATCTCTAGGCTGGAGATTGGATCGAGACAGTATATTTCGAGTTTCTATCTGGAAATGGTTGGTTGGGGTGTCTTCCATATAGGAAGCAACGTGATTTGTGGCGGAAAGTTAGTTTTATGTATTAAATTGACTTTTCACGGATTTTGGTGTATCCATTTAGGCAGTAGCCTATAGTTCAGTGTTCCCAACTTGTTAAGTGCTGCATGCATTGGCAATTTTGTCTGTGCTATCTTTTATGGCACTTAGAGGACTATGGACTTGTACCCTGCTATAAGTATTGGGTACGGATGATTAGTTGTGCAATACAACTTATGTGTAGAATTGGTATTTCTTAACTAATGGTACCATAAAATTTTCGATAAAGATTTGGAATTTGGTGGAGCCCGTACATAGCGGCGCAATCCACTACGGAATGGAACTGAATTTAAAATAAAAGAATTCAGAAATTCGTGAATTCCGAGGACGGAATTCCTTTTGTTAGGGGGGGAAGAATGTAATAACCCTAATATTTAAAAAGGATATAATTGAAATTTAAATTAAGTTTTCTTTGAATTTTATTTCATTTTTATTTAATGATGTGGATTATTTGGTTTATGTACATTTAAATGTGATTATTTGGTTTTGTGCTTAATTGTAATTGTCTATTTGTTTTAATTTAATTGTTTGTTATTTTTTTATGTGTCGTATATTTAATTTAGAGTTAGGGTTTTATTTTAGGAGGTTGTGGTAGCCGACTTATAGTTAGTTGGGAATTAAAAATTAGGTCTTAGTAAGTGCATATATATATATAATCTTATACGTTTGCTAGGGTTAGGAAAAACAAAACCCTATTCACGTATTGTGAGATAGAGAGATACATGTAATGGTGTTTGAGGGAAAAACAGAGGGGAGCTTGAGACTGAGAGAACCACCAGATGGGATTTCAGCCATGGACTGTGGGTTGAACCAAGGAAGGATAGAAGGAGTGTTGTTCGTGTGAGGAACCAAGGAGGAAATAGAGAAGTTAGAACAGTGCGTGATCGCCGGAAAATCTAGGAAGACGGCATAAAGATTTTAATTCAAAAATCTCGAAGGCAAGTTTCATTCTATCTCTTTCCTATAAACTTGTATTCTGTGCATTCTATATAGCCTCTAGGAATCTAATTTAATTTAAAACTGAGGTTTATGCATGATAGATAGGCTAAAAACTGTTTGACGAGATTGTAACTGTTAATTTGTTTTGTTTTGCATAAACTGTTTTGGTTATGATTTAAACTTCTGAAAATTAATTTGTAATGGAAGTTAAGGAGTTTCTAGGATGGTTAGGACATAAATTGAACCCTTAAAATCTTTAAGAAACTTAGAACAGACAGTTGGAGCTTCTATAACTGAAATTGTCTTATGTTTTGTAACTGTAATTTGTTTTGGCATAAATTGTTCTGTTCTTGTTTTTAGTTTTTGACAAATAATTGGTAGTGGAAACAAAGGAGTTTTTAGGAGTATTAGGGCCTAAAGTGAACCCTTTAAATCCTTAAGAAACTTAGAACAGACAGTTGGAGTTTTCGCCGGAAGCAAAAACGAAAAACAGAGGAAACGGTGAAGGAAAAACGGATGCTAAGTGAGTAGAGGCGCCTCCACAGGAAGTAGAGGAGGCTCTACAAGAAGTAAAGCTTGCTCCACAAGAAGTAGAGGCGGCTCCAAAGGGAGTGGAGCAGGCTCTACCTAAAATTGGAGCAGGCTCCTCTTTTGCAAATACACTATAAGTGTATTTCTTTGGCCTTTTTGAGATTTCAGGGCTCCAGTGTTTGTTTAAACTTAGTTGGATGGATTTAAATGTTGTAATTAAGTAGGATTATACCCAAGAATGATTAATTCATGCTAGGAACTTGATCAACATGGGATTTAAAATTAAATTCACATGCGGTTTATGGCTTAGAAGAAATTAAATTGCTTGTCGTAATGTTTAAGCAAATTTAATAGAGAGGTTTTAAAATGATGGATTTAATTTATTAAAGACCTAGAATTATTGGTTTAGGCTATGGGAGTGAATGTCATGACTTTTAAATATTAATTAAGTATGTAGTCAAGGAGGGTGAAAGGGTTAATTTCTAGTGTTGTACTAGTAAATTAAACGGACTAAAATAAAAGTTATTTTTGTGATGTTATATAAATGAAATATATAACATATGGAAATCCCAGGGTTTTTGTCTTCTGCTGTAGTCATAGATATCATGAAACATGGATACTAAAGTGAATGCCGTCAGGGAGTATGGAAGTGGTTACTGCTAGTTATTATGTTAGCAAACTAAATGCTTTTGGGATTTCATTTATTATGCGTAGCTTATACTTCTAAGTATTCATTATACAATGCTTTGGATTTATAATGGAGGATCAGAGGGACATCATGAAATTTACATAATAGATTGCATGTTGTTAGGGATGGTGAAAGCTTAAATTGCTAAATATGTTTGAGCAAATTAAATGGAAGAGGATGAAAGAAGTTTGGGAATTTGGTATAATGTGTTCAATTTATATATTTTGATTTTCATTATATTATTGGATGGATTTTAATTGATAAACGATTACAATTTCTGATTTGTCAATTATATGGATACGGATGGTTTAAATTGTTCATTATTACTTTAACAATTTAAAAGGAGGACTTATGATTATACTGGATGTGTAATAGAACCTTACATATATCATATTTTTATTATATTTATTTTTGGATGGATTTGATGTCCAAATGTGTGTTCATCATTTATTGAAGCATTTGCATTATATGTACCGGTATGGGACGATGACATATCAGGAATGGATTAGATCAAAAAGCTAAATCCTACCCTTTCATACATACGGAAACAGTTAACTCCTTCATGGATGCATATCCTGTCAACTAAAACAGTTGAATGACGTAACGGATTGCTGCTTTACTTTTCTGTATTAGGAAGGATTTAAATATATATTTATGATGCCGTAATATGAGCTTGAATCTCCTGATCACGGTTAGGGTGCGTATATCGCCTAGGATGGATAACTAGGCCTAATGATGTTTCCCTGGTTGTTCTACTCGGGTTGAGACAGATTATGTGGGCTGGTGAACGTCTTATAGTGTGTACTTATATCTATATGGATTACTTTAGCTATTGTTGAGCTATCTAGGATGTATCTGCGTATCGGATTTATGTATGGATTGTAGTAGTATGAAACTTGCATGTGGGCTTGACCCACCCTTATTTTTCAGGTGTTCGACAATACCAGTCTTAGAGCTTGATCGTATTGATGCGGATACAGTCACTCAATCTTCTGACCAAATAGGATGTTCTTTCTTATTTTAGTTTTTTTTTGAATTTTGATTCTGTAAAATTTTATCAGTTGAGATTATTAGGGGTCCACTAATTGAATTCCCGAGTTGTACGGATTTAAAAGTTATGTATATTAAAACTATTAGTTTGGAGGTTTTACAATTAGAATTCTTTTCAGCGTATTATTTTATTTCTTAATTCTTTTGTATTCCTGCTTGTTTACATATTGATTGTTTGGTATCTCTCGAGTTTGTGTCCGGACTTGATCACCCATGACTCTAGAATTGAGAGGTATCACAATATATGACATTATTTAGTTTGTATTATGTGCATACCTTATTTTGAGGGTGGAGATATTTATAAATGGTGGTGAAGAAGGTTTTTTATTTTTTGTAATGGGTGTGCCCAAACGTTACTATTAAATGAAGAATGATGTGACAAAATATAGGCCACTTAAAAGAGACACATTCTCACAGCAGAGGATTTCCGGGTCGGTCTATTTTTTCGGATTTCAGCACTAGTGCTGTGATTCTCTTTGATCCAATACGGTTCTTGATTCTACGTTCTTTCTTATCGGTCCAGTTCGGTTTTTTTCTCTTTCGAAGCTTGATCGTCTCAAAAAAATTTCTCCTCTAATGGCGACCGGTTCGAATAGAGGCGGTGACTTCTACAGATCCAGGTATTGACGTATTGTTTACCTCATCTGTTATGATTTTTTTCCCCATAATTCTCTGTAGAATTCTCAAAATTTTGATTATAATAAAGGAAAAAAATATTAAAATTTAGAAATTTTCACTGCAAATCCACTGTTCAGTTTCTCAGTAACCAAACAATGGGTTTGAGAATTCCTTTGCTTGTTTATTTTTTTATTTTTTGATTATTCTTGTGTATGCAGAGAAGGGCTTAGCACGAGAGCGGTGGCTGGTTCTGATGAAATCCAATTGCGGATTGATCCGATGCATGGGGACTTGGACGATGAGATTACAGGTCTCCATAAACAAGTTAGACAACTAAGAAATGTAAGTTGTCTTTTCTTTTGGACTTTAATTCAATTTTATATATTTATTAGAGTTTGTTTCTTGTTTTTTCATTGAATTGTGTCATGGATGGGGCTGATATTGATCTCGTAAAAGGAACCTGATTGATGTGATTTTGTTCTTAATTTTTTGGGTTACAAATTGGACATCTTTGTGGTGAACTATTCTAAAATCTTTTGCAATTCAATTTGAATATTATTGTGAAACTGGCAGTTGCTTAATCACCCATTTAGATCAATTTTTTTTTTTTTTTTCATAATTCATCTAGATCCAAGTTTTTAGCGGCTTCCAATGAATATTTATTTTCGGATGGAATTTTTTTTTCCCCTTTCTAAGCACCCTTTATACTTTAAAGACACTAATAATGTTATGATTGACAAAATGAGGTTACAGGCTGCTTGGTTCTGTTTTCAGATAACAGTTTTCTGTTTTCGTGGAATTGAAAATCAGAAAATTGACCGTGGTTTTGAGTACCGCAGTTGGCAGGGTCCTTGTGGATCTTGGTTGGTTGTGTGGGTTCGAACCTTGGTATCAACAAACCAAACCAAACCTCTCTTTATTCATGAAAAAAAAAAATTAGAAAATTGTACAAAAACTCTGCTTGGTTTTCTATAAAAAAATTCTTGAAAATTATACTCCTTTAAAAAAGTAGTTGAGTTCAAAATTCAAAAATTTATGTTCCTGTATATATTCAGTTAATTTGTGGAGGGAAAGTAGTAATTTGGAAGTACAAGTGCAGACATAGTGATTTGTGGCCATAGAAGGTTAGGGGAAGCTATAAGAGTGGGCTTTCAGAGGCCGTTAGCATATGCTCAGGGAATGGAAACTGAAATGATCTGGTCAGTTACGTTTGCTGTTGTTTTGTACAAGTCATTTAGCGTATAGGTTCTCTTGTGGTTGTGGTGGAGTTTCTATGTTATTTAACATAGATGGGAATGAATAAAATTTAGTTTAGGTTCACAATATGTACTCAGAATATTTAACAATATCATTGCATCTTTTTGCAAAATGATGTTATATCGATTTCAGTTCGATTCTGGTTTAAATTCTGAGCGAAACCACTGTGCACAAAATAATGTTAAAAGATGAGGTCTATCTGCACCTTTCCTCTCCTGTCAACCAGCATAGGCGATCAGTACTGGCTAATGGCCTCTGTGTGTGTGTGTTTTCCCCCTTTGATTAATGGGGAGTTGTTTTTGGCTGGTTTCTTGTGCCAACAATTGAGGCAGCAAGGCTGTATGGAGAATGACTACTCATGGTATTTTTTTATTTCTATTTTTTTTATGTTAAAAGGTTAGGTCTATCTACTAATCAGAAAAAAAAAAAGGTTAGGTCTATCTCCACCTTTTCTCTCCCAGCAACCAGCATGGGTGATTTGTATTGGCTAATGGTCTGTGTGCGTGTGTGTGTGTTCCCCTTTGGATTAATGTGGAGTTGTTTGTGGATGGTGACTTGTGCCAATAATTGAGGCAGTAAGGCTGTATGGAGAATGACTACTCATGGTCTTTTTGATCTTTTAGCTGGAATAAAATGGATATATTTAGCAAATTGCCTAGTGTATGTCTTGCCTAATCTCTATGTTGGTGCTAGGAGGGGGAAACAAGAGAGAGACCTATTGATTTTGGATTATTCTAGTGGAAATGCAGAGAACATTGTTTTCATACCCTTGTTTCTTGTGGGGAATTTCCTTGGGAGATTTTATATTCATTGCTTAACTTGAATGCATGTTTACACATTTATTAGACTGAATTTTATAGTAATTATTTTAGATGTCCGTTTGTAATTTTTTATTCCTTGAGGTCTTACTTAAGTACCATGTTGCAGGTAGCTCAAGAGATAGAGTCAGAAGCAAAGTTTCAGAATGATTTTATCAATCAGCTGGTATACCATCAACTGTACACCCATTTGTTTGAGAAATGTTCTTCTTTTGAGACTAGCTTTCGGTGAACACTTACTGGTAGTGTGTCACGAGTCCTTACTTTGATGGGAGTAATTACCCTTTTTACTGTCATTATCATTTTACTTGAATTATAATGTGGCTGTATATAGAAAATAAGAGAGAGTAGACTTAGGTGGTAACCGTATGGACATATTCAACGTTGACCTATAGATGCACCTGTGAGGAGAGGAAGATTGATTTGTATAGAATGTAAGAGCAGAGAGGTCGATCGAAACTAACATGGAATGAAGTGATAAGAAATGATTTAAAAAAATTAAATCTAATAGGAGATATAGTTGGGAAAATGGGATTTTAAAAATTTTTGGAAGCATGAATTAAACCCAAATCCATGTTTATGTGTAGAGACCTTCTTATATATGAGCATGCAGAATCAACCAATACATAGCATTCACCAATTACATATAAAGCATATAATATACCACAGATTTATAAACGGGACAAAATGTCAACTAAAATTCATTAAATTTGCTATGCTAAGGCATACAAAACCATCAGGTAGCTCAAGAGATAGAGTCAGAAGCAAAGTTTCAGAATGATTTTATCAATCAGCTGGTATACCATCAACTGTACACCCACTTGTTTGAGAATTGTTCTTCTTTTGAGACTAGCTTTCAGTGAACACTTCCTGGTAGTGTGTCACGAGTCCTTACTTTGATGGGAGTAATTACCCTTTTTACTGTCATTAGAAATTATTACTTCATTCTATCATTTACTTGAATTATAATGTGGCTGTATATAGAAAATAAGAGAGAGTAGACTTAGGTGGTAACCGTATGGACATATTCAACGTTGACCTATAGATGCACCTGTGAGGAGAGGAAGATTGATTTGTATAGAATGTAAGAGCAAAGAGGTCGATCGAAACTAACATGGAATGAAGTGATAAGAAATGATTTAAAAAAATTAAATCTAATAGGAGATATTGTTGGGAAAATGGGATTTTAAAAAATTTTGGAAGCATGAATTAAACCCAAATCCATGTTTATGTGTAGAGACGACCTTATATATGAGCATGCCGAATCGACCAATACTTAGCATTCACCAATTACATATAAAGCATATAATATACCACAGATTTATAAAAGGGGACAAAATGTCAACTAAAATTCATTAAATTTGCTATGCTCTAAGGCATACAAAACCATCAGATATGACATAATAGAAAAGAGTGGAAACGATAATTTGTATAGCATACGCCATACCCCGTTTGTATGGGATAAAAGCAAGGATGATAATGTGGCTATATAACTATATATGTTATGATTGATCTCCTTGATGAAGTTCAATATGGGTTTGTAAGGTGGTGAGAGATATTGGAAAAGGAGGGGAAAAACAAATCAACCCTAATTTGGTGGTTGGCATGTGATTTTCTTCACAATATCATTATTTTAAATTTATATAGTTTGTACTTGTTCTTCGAACAGTTGGACTTCAACTTCTTGACTGTAACAATGAGAAGGGGGGAACGGATTTGCCATGAATGGTTCGAGCATTAAGTTACAATATAGGTACCACTACTTGAGTGAATATTACCAGTTTCCATCACTGTGGAGCTATTAAATACCAAAATTGTCCTGCTGCTTGTATGTTTGAAAACGCTGGGTCTTCACAGACTCTCATACTTTGTGCCAGAGATTTGCAATCAGATTGCATTCAATTGGCTAATTGAAGAGATCCTCGGGTGGAAGTCTTTGCTTGAGTTAGCTCCATTCATCTCCAGGTTGCCAGAAAAGGAAAGAAGTTCAGTCAAAATTATTTTGGAAGAAAGTACTCAAATTTATTGTTCTTGCACAATATGATAATTTCAAGAAGAGCTGGTCTCCTAAGTGGGCTCATCTAGTGGCAATTTACCTTTATTTTGTTATGGTGCATATTAAGAATGAATGAGAAAATAAATGGCATTTTTTAATTTTGCAGTGGCAGAGATTGCAATTTGCAACAATGAATAATCTTTTCCCTGACTTGCTAAAAATGAAATAAATAAATAAAAGCCCACATATTATCTGTTTATAACATGATCTAGAAAAAGCCGTCTTATTTGTTTATGAAATTATTATTGGCATTCAGTGTGATTTAAATTATTCATATCTATTTGTAGTGGTACTTTGTTTCACCTTCCTCCTAGGGAAGGAAACAACTTCCTTGTGAAAGTTGATACATTTTTTCTTGTTCATTACAGCAAATGACATTGATCAAGGCTCAGGCAGGGGTGAAGAACAACATGAGAAAATTAAACAAGAGTATCATCCAGCAGGGATCGAGCCATGTCATCCATGTGGTTCTTTTTGCTCTACTTATTTTTTTTGTCGTCTACTTTTGGTCCAAACTTTCAAGACGATGAGGACCTGCAATTTGCTGCGCTCTTGCCACATGAAGAATTTGTTGAAGGAAGGCCCAAAGGGTTTGTGCCACTTCTGAGAATACCTCATGTCAATTCCCTTGTAAAGCATTTCATGGTACTATCGGTTGTAACTGGCATATTTGAAATGCATGGTTCTAGTCATTTGCATATGGAACCTACAACATTAATTCTTGTGTAGAAAAGAATGCTTGTAACTGAAATATGATAGACTCTACTTTGTAAGTAATGAGTTCTATGAAGTATTTTTTCATACATATCTGAGTGTCGCTTGTAAATTTTGTGTACTTCTAAAACCTCACAGAACAGCAACAAATTAGCAGGCACAGGCACTTGAGAGCTGTTGCTTGGTAGCAAAATTGTTGGAAGCTAGTTCGAGCTTGCTTAACCTAACTTGGTCGAGAACCTTTCTGGCCCATTCTGCAAAGAAGGTTTCATTGTGACCAACCTTGCCAGTTTTGTAATATAAAAAGCATTGTAGATCTTGTTTTGGGAATGGGCACTCCTCCCCAACCGGATCCCGCCATGCACCCTGGTGTTTCATTCCCGCTTGGGTTGCCATCCAGTGGTAAACATACTGGCCTAACCCTGCAGTCTCCAACCATCCTTTTGGGAAGAATTCCATTACACTACTGCCCCGATCCATGAAGAGCATGTTTGTCAATTGGGCGCCATGTGGAGATACAAAAATGTCGGTGTAAGTCATCACTCTCACCTGCATGACGGCCACAAAATGACGAGTAAGTCAGCTTACCTTGTAAATCTAACAACTCCAATTACCTTCTCTTTTGAATTGTCTTTGTTTTGATCACAATATTTTATGGTTCCTCTTCAGATTGCTGTTACTTCTTTCATATCATGCACAATGGATTCAGATTCAAGGAGACCACGAAGGGTTTATTTCATAATGGCTTCGAGAAATGTTCTCCTGCTTTTAGATGGCAAGGGGACAAATAAGTTGGAGGAAGATATGCAGCATTAATCAACTGCAGTCTGGACTATAGACAACATGTTAACATTTGTATTTACATACACACACACACACACACACAAGTCAAGCAGGGAAGAAAGTGCAGACCTGATCGCAGAAGCTTAGATCGTCTGACTGAGATACCTTCAAGATGCATCCCTGTACCCTTGCACACTCTCTAGCAAATATACCAGTAACTGCTGTTGCATTCTTGAATGATCTCGAACCCCTTCTCATCAGCAGAGTTAGCCTTATAATTGGCATCCCTTTTTCATTGACCTCTTTCCCTCTGTCTGTTGTCTTCAATCCACAGGACTCCCTAGCCTTGCATCTCAACAAGTCAAAAACCTTCAGCTGCTTCTCCTTTCCCATCCTCCCTAGATCATGCCTCATCACAACCGCCTTCTCGAAACAGTAAGGCGCATTCCCTCCACTGGATCCTTCAATGTGAAGTTCTCCGAAGTTTGCTTGCGTTAGGTGCTGAACCCATGATCCCAGCTTGTCTCTGAGTTCGCCCCAATGGAACAGTACCCATCTTGTTGGCTTCGAGCACCCATTCTTCATTGACCACCCTACGAAAGGAGCCACGGCAGACAATCCATGCCACAGATTGCTGTGGTCATAGTAGGAGTCTGATATGAAGGTCAGGCCATTCTTGAGAGTGGCCGAGTCTGGAAGACTCTCGGGCCATGCCAAGGCGTACGAGTTTTTTGCGCCATCCTTCGTGTCACGTCCCTTGATGCATAGGAGCCGTCCCTTGGATGCTTCAGAAGGGAAATAAAGGTACCCTGCTTCGTTTTCCTCGTAGGTATCATCCAGAGAGCTCATAAACCACGTGTTCCCTTCCATGGCTGCCTCGGCAAACCTGAGGTCTTTGAGAGGGAGGAATGTAACCGAGTCTCGGAGCTTGGCAGCCATGGCTTCAACAACGGTGGAGTGGCTAGAATATCCGTTGGCACCGAGTTCTCCTTTCGGTTGCTTAAAGAAAGCCCACGACGCAGAATGAAGAGAAGAGTAGGAAATGAAGGGAGAGTTATGGAAGTGGAAGACAATGAGTATCAGAAACAACAGCAAAAGGCATGTTATGAGTTTGGTTGAGTGACATGAGCTCTTGTTTTGGATGAACTTTTTGTCCATGTCCATCAGATTGCCTAGTGAAGATGAGAAAGTTGAATGAACCAAGAGACTCTTCTGAGTTATAAAATAGAGCTGACCTCGAGATTGGGACTAGAACTTCAATTTATTTTTATTTTTATTTTTATAAGCATTACTTAATTAATTTTTGGGTCAATGGTATTAACACCATCAGAAGAGGCATGATTGATAGAATTTTTTAATGATAAGGGTTAGAATTTTGATGTTGCGACTGCAGTTTAAGCAAGATGTACCGATGTTTCAAACAATTACTTAAATTAAACACCAATAATTTACACCCATTAAACCATGGGAGGTCATATTTACACTCCATTTTTTGATACAATCTGCAGAATTTATTTTGTTATATTATGTTATATAGTCTAATTTTGTAGGTCTAAGCACCCAGCTTTTCGTTACAAAGGGTTAGCTTAACACTGCCATTTCAATTGAATTTTGTGGAGAATATCACTTAGTATTTTTCCTTTCTATTTTCTTTCTTAACAAACCTTCTAGTGGAGTATCGAATTAGTGTCTTAAATTTGAGATTGAAGAAAATTTAATTTAAAATTTATACTAAATTTTATTCAATCTCAGATATAAAGGGCTAAAGTGCCGCCAAAATCAAAATATGACATTTATGGTTCACGGAATCTAAAGGGAATTTAAAGTCGCACCAACTTAGACTCATAGGACAATTTTTTGGCACTCCCTCCAAAAACATTGTTACGTTAATATTAATTAACAAAAGCCACATGAACATGCAAATAAAAAAACCAGTAAAACAAATCATACATACATCACACACGTCCAAAAATTAATCAACCATTAATACATTGTATCGTATTACACTACTATTAATTTTATTATTGTTATTATTTTGAATATTAAACAGAATTGTTAAACTGAGTTTTAAAAGTGCTTACGTGGCAATGATATACTTTTATTTTTACGGGACATGAGAAACTCAATTTTCTTTTGACAATATAATCCTCCAAAGTTCAGCACTATTTCTCATTCACCAACCAATCAGTACTTCTATATTCCAATCCCCATCTATGACCCCGTACATCTCTATCTCCTTGTTATAGAACTATCCTCATATCTCTCTTTCCTATAATTATTTATGTTTCTCTCTCCCACGCTTATATAAAGCGGGAAAAAAAAAATATGAAAATCTACAAGCATCAGTCCAAGTATATTATAAATACGAAAATATGGTATATATAATAGCAAACATCATGTAGCATGCGGTGATGTTCTTTGTAAATTAATATAAACTTTAAACTGAACCGTGGTGTAATCCTATTTTAATAGAGAGATCATTTGTCTATCCGCGTGTAGTACGAAATTTAGTTGTTACCTCACTATTACTTAAATTTTAAATTGACTTTAATTTTTTTTTGAGTTTTTTTTTTTTATTTTTTAAAGAGTTCACTAAATTACTTAAAGTCACATAATCTTTCTTAGCAGGTGTCATTCTCACGCTCATAGTGCGTTCCCGTTTTCACGTTCCATGTGCGTTTTTGTTCAAATTCTTATTACTTATGATTTAATTCTGCCACTCTCACACTCTCACTTTAACTTTAAATGACTTAATAGATTACATCCTTTGTACTTTTTCTTTGCATTTTGAAAGTACATAGTATTAGGTCTTTTGTAAGAAAGGACAAGGAATTACTTGTCAAATTGATAATTGATGAGACTATTTGTAAATATAAGAAAGTTCAAGGCATTTGTCATTTTGAAGAAGATAAAATGAAAGATGGCTTGGAATGGCTTTGCTGTCTCTATAAATTGAACTTTCCCAGTCTATGTAGCCTTATTTTTCCTACCATTCAAAATAAAGAGGAGAAAGAGAAACACAATTTTAATGGCTTGATTGGCTTCTTGTCTCTATCAGTCAGAGAACTTTTTATTATTATTATTTTTATTTGGGGTGAGTTGACCATTTGTTCTCAATCCATTGGTGGTTGGTCTATTCCCATGAAATCAGTGTGAAAACAATAATAAAACTGAAATTGCTAGATCAGATAAGATTAGATATGATAAGATTAGATAAGATTAGATGTCTGCAAGGAAATAATAGTAAGAATGGCCAGAGATGGAGTGAAATTGCTAGGGCTTTGGGTAGACCTGTCAATGAATCGAATTCGGATCGAATCGATCAAATTTATATTTTATTTGTTAAGCAAACGGATTATAGGATTCGGATCACTAACGGGTTCTCGGACTCTCGGACTGAATGTCCCAATTCATATCATATTTAGCTCGGATTCGGATCGAATCGGATTCGAAATCGGATTAAATTAATATTTATTAACATATAAGGAGATTATTAATATGTGAACTAAGAGATTTATTAGCATGTGGATGAGAACACCATAATATTTTTATATAACATTATTATTATTATGGATTTTTGGGTTACCTTTAATACAATTCTAATAGGAGTATTGATATATATATGTGTAAAATTATATATATATATATATATATATATATTTATTTATTTATTTATTAATAATTTTACACATATATATATCAATACTCCTATTATAATTGTATTAAAGGTAACCCAAAAATCCATAATAATAATAATGTTATATAAAAATATTGTGGTGTTCTCATCCACATGCTAATAAATCTCTTAGTACACATACTAATAATCTCTTTATATATATAATTATTTATATATATAATTTCAATCAGATCGGATTGGATCAGTATAATCCATATCCGATTTGTTAAGTTAACGGATTATCGGATTCGGATCGTAACTGGGTTATCGGATTTTTTGTTCAATCCATATCCGACTAATCGGATCGAATTCGGATTGGATCCGAATCAGAATCCGCTCTATTGACAGGTCTAGTTTTGGGGAAGCCCTTATGCCCTTAGGGTTAAGTGGGCTTTAAAACTGAAAGGGGTTGAATATGAATATGTTGAAGAGGATATCCTGACCAACAAGAGTCCCTTGCTGTTGCAGTACAACCCTGTTTACAAAAAGGTCCCTGTCCTTATGCACCAAGGCCAACCCTTGGCAGAATCACTGGTGATCATTGAGTACATAGATGACTCATGGAAGGAAGAATATCCATTCTTCCTCATGACCCTTTTGAGAGAGCCAAGGCTCGTTTCTGGGCCAAATTTGCTCATGACAAGGTAAGGACTTTGTCTAATTACTTTTCTTTTTTGTTTTCTTCCATAACTAGTTCCAAATCGAGAGGAAGGTGTGAATTTTAAATAAGATTTTAGCTAGGTTTTTCTCCACTAGTTACATATCAGAACCTAGGATTTAGACGCGTGGAGTTGAGCTTAAGTTGATAGTACAACTTGTTCCGACCTAGGATAATAAGCTTATTGAGCTGGTCTTGACTTCCATCTCCAAGTTTAACGCAAACGTAGCTCCCTTCTTTTGGGGTGGTTTTGTCCGAGTTGAGCTCGAGTTGGTAGTAGTATTACACTACCACATGATTTCAAGATCATCAAACTTGTTAGTACCAAAAATTTTACACAAGTTTATCCAAAATAGGCAATTTATACATCAAAAAAGCATGTTAAATGTAAAATTGTTTCACTTTTTCTAATCCGATACTGTTTCATGGTGGTTCTATTCTCAGTGTGTGCCGGCAATCATGGCTACGTTCTCTAAGGTAGGAGGAGACGAGCAAGAGAAGGCTGCAAAAGAAGCAAGAGAGTTTCTGAAGACACGGGAGAGTGGGCTCGAGGGGAAGCGCTTCTTTGGAGGTGAAACAATAGGTTTTGTAGACATTGCTGCTGCGTGGATTGGGATCTGGGGTCGGATTGTTGAGCAGATTGTGGATGTAAAACTGATAGATGAAGAGACTATGCCTGCAGTCACCACCTGGTTCCAAGATGTCCTTGAAACTCCCATCTTGAAAGAATATGTGCCGCCTTGGGATAAACTGATGGCGCTAAACAAAAGCTTCCACGACATGTTGACTTCTGCATCAACATGACGCCTTACCCTTCGTCTATGAACTTGAATTTATCTAGTTTCTGTGCTGTTTGTTTACGCGTGGTTAGTGTTCTTCTGAATAAAATGGACCTCAGATGTTTCAGCATCAAAATACAGATGTAAAAGGTCTGCAAAAATTCTGTTGCTTATGTATTAGACTATTAGACATTGCAATAACCAATATATAACTGCAGTACAAAACAAAATTTCGTATTCCTAAAGAAAACCAAACAATCAAACAAAACCATGACGAATTCCTACACACACACAGCTATGTATAGCATGTCTAACCTGCAACAATCAAATTAGAAGTATATGAATGGCATTGATGGTTAAAGACATACTGGGATAAACAATAAAGAAACCCGGATGAAATAAAGTGTGCTCTGTATGTAATACTCCACATTACCTTTTTCCCTGCTTCCAGCCTTCGACTTCAAGAACAAGATGAGCAGAAGAAGAGTATAAGTCTCATCATCTGTATCAATTTCATGCTTCTGCATCATTTTAATTAAGGATGTTCAATTCCAAGCTATATCTTATGATTGTTGGACTTGCAAACTTGCAAGACCCAAAAGCCTAACAAACTTTACGATTCTCTTCATCGATACTTCCAAAAATATCAATCATCTTCTCTTTTCAGCGCAACAATCTGCTTCATTCCACAAGGTAGGCAATGCTACCAAAAAAAAGCACAACATGATCTGAAATTGGATGTGAAACAAGTAGGGCTGGTGGGCATCAGTGCTGGCTGGATTGGATGCTGGCCTCGGATTGTTGAGGAAATTCGGGGCATAGACCTGACAGAAGAAGAACATCCATTCACTCAACGTGCGGCTTCTATAACTTTCATGATACCTTGAAGCTCCCATTATCAACAAATTTGTGCCACCAAAAGACTAATTGCTAGTGTATAGTAAATACTTCCACAAGATTTTGATGGCTGCTTCAATTTGAAGTCTTAACCCCCATCTACAAATGTGCATTCTTTAGAGTGTCTGCATTTGGTTTATGTATCTGGACAGTATAATTTGAAAAAAAAAAAAAAAAAAAAAAAATGGGGTTCAGTTGTGGCATAATAGGTAAAAAGAATTATGAAAAAATTTGCAATTACGCTTTCTGTTAGAATATTTGTAATCACTAGTACCAACAAAACATCATATGGGATTATGACAAGGACGATGACGACGATGACTAGTACAAAAAATAGTTCAGACAAGACCTGTGTTTTTCTCAAAAATTAACAATCCAAATAGACCATCATGGCTTCCTACAAATAGTAAATGCAGCTTGTAATTACTAATTGCAGAAGATATGAACAACTTTCAGAAAAGAAACAAGAAAAACTTGCTGATTGCCTGTCATATATGCAATGAAGACAAGGATCCAACAGAAGTCCAGTTTTCATTGTGTGTCCCTTGTGCCCGTGTGTTTCATTTATATCCCTTCTTCCCATCAACTCGAATAAGATGGCAAACCAAAGTGCATGTGAAATGTTTTCAGTGTCCAGTTTTCATTGTGTGTCCCTTGTGCCCGTGTGTTTCATTTATATCCCTTCTTCCCATCAACTTGAATAAGATGGCAAACCAAAGTGCATGTGAAATGTTTTCAGTCAGACTCATATGAAGCCATCATGACTCACCCCATAGTACCGTTCTGGCTTACACCTTGAAGGCCTGAATAAGAGCAGAAGTCTCATCATCCATATTTATTTCGTCCTTCTGCATCATTTTAAGGATTTCCTGAATTGGTGCTTGAGTGCAGGCATACATTCTAAGCAATGATTTATAGACAGGCAAACTTGCAAGACCCAATCGCCTAATAAACTCGACATACCGCTTTGCATCTACAATATTTCCTTTCTTCTCAAAGTACTCTGCAATTGTCACTACAGTACTAGGTGAAGGCCTCCAGTCACAATGTTTTAACAAGGAAAATCCATTTTTCATGGCACTAATAGCTTTATCCATATCCTGGCTTTTTACCCACCCCTCCATGAGAATTTCCCACGTCTTATAATTCGGACGCCCACCTTTCTCCAATGTGCGGAGATGTAATGATTCAGCTTTCTCCATTAACCCGTTCCTCATGTATGCACCTAGAAGAACGTTGGAGACTCTTATGTCATACTTCCTACACTGGGACTCCCATTCCATGAAAACCCTCTCAGCTTCTTCAATATCGCCGAGCTTCACAAAACATGACAAGATACACATATAGTCGGCACAAGTGATTCTACCTTCTACTGCTTTACAAGCTTCCCAAAGCCGAAGAACTCCATCCCTATTTTTCAACGAGGCATAGTGTGTTATGAGAAAGAAGTAACCAAGGCGGTTGCAGTTAGATAGCTTCTTTTCCGCTTTTCTGAGGGCCAAAGTGGCCTTGTCACAAAGTCCTGATTTAAGGTAAATATTGGCCAAACTAGATAGAGAGCTCCATCCCACTTCAACATTCTTGTCGTTTAGCATCTCTTTGTAAACCATCTCTGCTGATGCAACCCCAGATAGCTCACCACATGCACTCATCCAAAGGTTGTAGGAGAGGACATTTCGGGGTATTTTGTTTTGCTTCATTTGTAGGATGACAGAAGCTACTTTCTCATACTGAGATGTGGCCATATAAAGCTTCATCATCTCATTAAATGGATGAGGGTTTACAATCAGCCCCAAGCCATTCATCTTCAACATGAGAGCCTCAGCTTTCTCAGTTGCTCTTTCTTTAACATACAAATGAAGAAGAGGGAGGCAGGCAGCTTTCTGTGAAGCACTGTTGGGTATAATTGCAAAATATTCTTCAGCCTCCTTTAAAGTATGCACTTTGGTAATTAATTCCAACCTGATAGCATGATCAGCTGCTGAAATCTGGAATCTTGCTTGATCCTCCATCCAAGTTAATATCTGTGCATAAATGGTATGACAGATTCAAATAAACACTCCAGATTATGTCCTAATATTCAATATTAAACTCCCAAGGGAAAGAAAAGGACAGATAAAAGGATCTCAGGAAAAAAAAGTTTTTTTAGTTCAGTGTTTCATTGGCCACAGCAATTAACAGGGAAATCTGTGTTTACATCAAAGAATCAAAACTATAACAATTTTACAATTACAAAACTATAAAAATAAATAAATAAAGAAAAAAGAAAAGGCATGGCTGTTAAGAGTCATATCAGGCAAAAAGACATGTCAAGAAGGTTTCCCTTGATAGTTTCCTATTTTTTTTAACATACAAAATTGAAGATTGAAAAGGTTAAAAATAACAATGGATAACACAGTCAGTTTAAATCTAATTTATTGACAAACAAGATCAAAGGGTGAACTTAAAACTGCCCCATCTAAACATCCGCATTTTGATGATACACATTTAAAAGACATGTTATTTCTTTACCAGCCTGTATTCTACCATAAATCATAGCTGCAATTAAAATAAATCCCAACTATGTACTATTATTTGAAATGCATCAGACAATTAAAAGAAAAAATTCCACTTACTTTATTCTTTTTGAATTTTTGGGCATTATCCTCTATGACTGCTTCCTTATGAATAATGCATAATTGTTGTTAAAGACATGTAGACTGCAAAATGACCCAGGCTTCTCAAGACTCAGTAGAAGCATCTCAACCTACCACAGCCTGCCCCTTCAATTAGGTGCACATAACACCTTCTGGCGGATGCAGTTCAATAGGACCCAAGCTCAAAAGAATTTGCCTTTATTTTTAGGGCAAATTTCTGTAAACCCCCAATACTTTCAAAACGTGATCATAAAACCCCAACCAGTTTTAAAAACCCCCAACAATATAATAACGTTATCATTTTACCCCAACTCTGTCAATTGAGCGTTAAAGGCATGTGAAATGACTAAATTACTCTTATTATATTTCCTTTTATTTAAAAAAACCAAAAAAATCATATTTTTGAAATTACAATATTATCCTTTAGATAGATAGATAGCTACACAAGGAGAGAGAAAACCCAAAACATATATAGAGAGAGAGGAGAGAGAGAGAAGGGGTTAGAACTGAAAATTGAGAAGATCAGAGCAAAAACACCGACCGAATGAGATTGACTATATCTAGAACCACGACCACGCCAAAAATCAAAATAAAATCACAAACCCAGTTAAGATTAGAAAGAGATAGCTATAGAAGGAGAGAGAAACCCAAATATATATATATATACATATAGAGAGAGAAAGTGAGAGAAAAGGGATTACAGGTGAAAATTAAGAAGATCAGAACAAAGAAGACATACCCAATAAGATTGACTCTGAGATTAGCCTTGAGCTGAAGGAAGAGGTCGTAGAGCTGACCCAGATCAGTAGCCTTGCCGTGGGAGTAGAGCAGAGTGAGGCGAGCATATGGGTTTCTCAGATAGAACGCAACGATCTTGTTGCCTCTCTTGGTGTTGAGCAACAGGACATCAAGGGAATTGTCGTCGGCGCTCGATAGCGGCACCGACAGCGCCGTGGAGACCGCCACGAGCTTGCCGTCGCCGCGCTTCTTCACCTCGTACGTCGGCGGCGACGGCGGGAAGAAGGTGAATTTCGTCGCCAGTTAAGAGACGAGACACCCCATTCACCACCCCGAGAAGGCCTCCGGAGACCCAACTCATGAATGCATGTGTATATCTATATATATATCTACAGACACAGACATAGCGCTTTTCACTAATCACCGTGTGTGTTTTAGAGAGAGAAACTTAGGTAACAGAGTAGGTGTTGAAATGGGGAATGAGCTTTTAACTTTAAGGGTTGAGAGAGAGAGAGAGTTGTAGAAGTTGGGAAGAGGTAAGTGTTTTTCTTTAGGGGTTTGGTCTCTGGTTCTCTAGCTTAATCTGTGAAAGGTCATCTTAGTCATGTTTATGTGTGTGTTTTTTTGTGTGTGCAGGTGGTGGTGTGGTGGTGTGTAGTGTGAGGGTGGCAAGTTAGAGAGAGAAAGAGAGGAGAGAGAGTACAGTGGGGAGAGGTGTGTGGACTGTGGAGTTTGGTCAGTGCCTAAAATTCAAATACTCATAATGGAATAGTTTCATTGACGCCATTTGAAGAGTGATGTGAAGTTTTTTCATTTATTATTTTTATTTTGGAAGGCGATATTGACAATTCAATTTGCACTTCCTGGTCTAACATTAATGCATCATATCCTTAATTATATATATATATATATATATATATATATAACGAACGAGTATATCTTGAATGGAAGGATTCAAGATATAAGCTTACTATTATAAGCTTGGGGTCTGGTCAGAGACGGAGAGGAGGACAAGGTTACTATTACAAGCTTGGGGGTATTTTTGGTATAACATATTTAAATTCATATCACTTGTTTGGCACATGTGACAGCAGGGATATTTTCGTCACAAAAGTCAATTTGTCAAAGCAATTGTTAACCACGCGCTGAGTTAATGGACCCAATTGACAGAGTTGGGGTAAAATGATAATGTTATTATATTGTTGGGGGTTTTTAAAACTGGTTGGGGTTTTATGATCATTTTTTGAAAGTATTGGGGGTTTACAGAAATTTGCCCTTATTTTTAATCACTGAATCATATTGTTTTCTCCATATTTTCCGCTAATGGTCATTGTTGACATGCTATGTATCATGCAAGATTATTGAATGTGGATCATATTGTTTAATCTTATTAAATATTTTGAAAGAATTCACGAGGTTATGGTTACCAATTAAATTAAATGGATATAATTCTCTCAATATTTATGATAGTATAATATATTTTTATAATTTACATGATTGTAGCTCTTTATTGCACCACATTTGTAATAGTATTCGTTTAGTTGATGTACAAGCACATTCAGAGGATATATTTGATTTACCTAATCGTCTTTGTCAATATTCCAAAAAAATCCAGTTTTTAAAAAATTTTGACTAGCTTTATGTTGCATATTTATTTGAATTACTTTAATTGTACATTGATTTAATTGAATTCATTTTCATATCGTTAGGATATGTGTATATTTATCTAATCCACTGAATAAATATACTGATAAATCATAAATTCCTTAATTTTGAACTTTGACATGTTTGTGTTGTATCTTTTATTTTTATTTTTCTATTAAAACTATATTTTCTATGAATAATTGATATCACACATGCGTTTTACTTCAAACAAGCACACGCTTTTTTAATAACTACAACAATCAAGCCTTTTTTTTTTTTTTTTTTTTCCAACTACTTTGGGGTAAGCTACATGAATCCAATGAACTATGAAATAACTAATCGAATAAATAAAAAATAACTGCCATATATACTTTCTGCTAAACAATTTTTCAGTCTCTGATTAGATGTTGTAAATTAATTAATTTTCTTTCTTCATGGTTTATAGAAGTAAAATTCTCTTAATAATTTTAAGATTTTACACCATCATTCCATAATTCTACAATTAATCAAAACATAACGATGCATACAATTGTAGTAACTTTATTCCATATGTTTATTGCATTAAAATTCTATTAAATCTTGAAGATTTTATAGCATCATTTTGTAATCCTGAATTAGCCAACACATAAAATGCAAACAAGTCTATCCAAAGATTCACATCTCAGTGTCTAAACCCTAAAGAGTGTCATTCATTGTTTTTTTTTTTTTTTTTTTCCCCATTTCTCAAGAGCATTCACATGAAAATGTATTGTAAGAAAAAAAAAACTCGGAAATCGATAAAATCAAACCTCAAGAGCATGCTTGTATCGGCGAAAGTTCATAAGTTGTTTGCATATGCGTCGAAGCTCGGAAACCGAAACTCTGCGGCCTTCATCGACCCAATTTTGGAGCACAGTCGTCGCGCTTCGTCTGGGGAATATGAGCCTGAATATCCTGCTCTTGAGCTCATCGTTCTGGTCCTTTCTCGACAGCGAAGATTCACCGGCGGTGGTATCGATTGACAAGGAGTTAGATGAGATAAACCTCCACGAGCAAGCAATGTAGGAAGGATTGATGCTGCTTTTTCACCATAACAGATGAGAAATTCCGGTGAATATACGTGTCTGTGTATGTGTATATATATGTAGAGAGAGAGAGTATTACCTTCTGAGATTGGAATAGAGCGAGTGGAGACCCATTTGGGCTTATTGGAAGGTTTTCTCCAACACTGTTACTCTGTACTTGAAGGAAAATTGGGAGTTGTTTGGGAGTTGTTTGTATTTATTTACCTAGTTTTTAATTGACACTTATTTATTCATTTATTTTTGTTATTAAAAATAAAAACAAAAAAATTTGGTGCACTGGGCTAAATGAATTAAATGTTTAACGAATTAAGTGCGATTATTAACGTGTTTTGAATATTACTTTAAAAATAAATATTACTTAAAATGAAACAAAATCTTAAACAATAATGACTTTACTTATCATTATATTAAATGCTAAACACTTAAAATTTAATCATTTTATAATTAAGTATTTAATGCAGTTATTAAACTATTAGTAAAGTTTATTCGATTAAATGAATTTTATGACATATATATATATATATATATATATATATATATATATAATAAGTTGTTTGGTTAACGTTTTGTTGTCTTATAGAGTATTTTGATTAATAATTGAAAATATGTTTGATAACGTTTATTTGTTACAAAAGTAAAAATATAAAAAATATTTGTAAGTTTAAAAAATATAATGATTAGTTTAAAAATCTCATTAAAGAGTTTTAAAATAATAAAAAAAAATTAATTGTTTATGGTTAGAGTACAAGAAAAACTTAATTGAACAGGTTTTACTTATGTGGCATAATGTAATCGGTTGATAGGACAAATAATAAAGAATAAAGTGTAAGAAAGTTTTTCTCCTGTAATACATGTTATTACAGTGCTAAAACATATGTAAAAAAAATATTAAATTAGTGTTTTAATACTATTCACAAAACCTTTTGACAATATATAAAATAACACTTTTTTTTACCAAACACAGACAACCATACCCATACCAATACCAATACCAATACCAATACAGGCGCTAAGATTCTCAAGAGAGGTAAGTAAACCAGTAAGACTTCATTTATCAACGAAATAGAAACATTACCAAATATGTTATCAGACTTATTTCTATTTTCTAGTGATTTGGAAACAAGAAACATGAAATAGAAACATTACCAAATTTTCTTATCTTAGCAGGGTAATATATATATATATATATATATATATATTTTACCTTCATTTCTTTTTCTTTTTCTCCGGTCCATCAGTTGCTTTAATTTTTAAATATATATATATATATATATATATATATATTTAATTATTATTTGCAAGAAAGTAAGAAACGGACACACACCACCATTTACACCCTCAATTTGTTCAGTTGGAGACTCACCATTTACTAAAAGGTAAAACAGATATTACTAGACTATAAGGTCAAATTAATGATACTCCGTATTCTTTTTTACCATAATAAAAAAAGAACAATATTTAGATCCTCACTCAATATCTCTTATGTGATCCAATAAAAATAAAACACCTCATCTTTTGTTAAAAAATGTCAAAAAAATAAAGAAAGAGAAAATAAACTGGATCCTACCCGAATGAGACCGGGTAAAAAGAGTTGAGGTTTTTTTCTTTTTATTTTATTTCTAGGGTTCAACGTCTGGTTCTCTTTCCGGCACTATAAATGAGTCCTTTCTCTCCACCATCTTCTTCCTCTCAAGTTTCTAGTCCTGCGCATCATTATTCAATTGTCAAGAATATTTGAAAGATGTATGATTTTTTTATTTTTTTTATTATTATTATTTTTGTTTACATAATCTTAGGAGAAATTAGGTTTTTGAATTTTGTGTTAATATGTATGTGAATCTTTAAATTTAACACATAATCGTTCATGGAGTTTTTGAGTTTTGTGTTAATATATATGTGAATTCTTAAATTTAACATAATCATTCCTTTTTTAGAAAAAGAATCTTAAATGTATAAACAAAAAAAAATATATCATACCTCCTTCAAATATTTTTGCCAATTGAATGATGACGTCTAGGATTAGAAACTTGAGAGGAAGAAGATGGTAGAGAGCGAAGGTTGAAGGCGGGTGCCGAAAAGAGCCCGAATCTCATTCCAATTTATTTTCTCTTTATTTATTTTTCTGACCTATTTAACAAAAGATAACATGTTTTATTTTTATTAGACCACATAAGAGGTGAATCCTCTAAGTTTCTCTCATAAATACACTCACGCTTTTTTGTCCACCGGAACCCTTCCCTCCTCTTTGTGGGGAAGGAGAAATTATTAGATGGTCCTGATTTATTTGACATTTGGTGGACTAATTTAATGAAAACTTTGTAATTTATTAATATAATTTTGTGCGGCTATTTTCTCAATCCTAACGTTTGTATTTAACTAATCCACTAAGTGTTAATGGTCCAAAACTATCTAATAATTTTACCGGGTTTTCGATCAAATTAATGATAGAAATATCTACAGAAACTACTAGAAAAAATTTTAAAATCTAACTTTTGCAGTTTATCAAACGACACTCAAAAGGTTTTTTTTTTTTTTTTTTTCTTTAACTTTGTTTAACAGTTAATACCCACGGAATTCAAACCTAAAATCTCATGTTTCTCGGTGAGACGCGGCAACAGCGACCCTATGTGCAGAGGTGGAGTACCATCTCTCTATCTCTCAATATGTATTTTCCAAAATCTGTTTATTTATTTTCCAATCCTCTTGAATTCCAATTTATTATTATTAGTGTTCATATCAAATTTTTTTTTTTCCCGTTGGACATGAATGTGATGAAGTTCATTCCTGAATTGTAGGTTCATCTTGCTCCGTCTGTTGCTTAACAAAATCATGGGGTTATCATCCTTAGTAGGAATTTTTCTGATTTGGGTTCTAACTATACTGAATTTCTGCAAAAGAGAAGAGTTTTATTACTAGGAGGTGTTAATGGTAATACCCAATTATTCTTGCTTTTTAGTTTTCACCAAAGGTTTAGCACTGAATAATTGGTCTTCTCTTTGGTGAATTTAGTTTTTGGTGTGTTCATGCCTATTATTAATATTATTTATTTATTATTACTATTATTTTTTGAAATGGGAACCTTCCAAGCATGTGCACTGCAAGGTAAAGCCCAGATACGCGCAATCACTCGCAAACCACACACACACACGTCACCCAGGTGTTTTTTGCCCTAACTTATGAGAGTCAAATTCAAGACGTCTATAAGACTTGCCCCTTAACCATTGGGCCACCCGTGGTTATGTTCATGCCTATTAATTGTTGTATGTAACGTTCATGCCCCTTGAATGGAACTCGGTTGGGGTGCCAAGCTACTGATTTATCAACTTCAGCATTAAGTTGAACATACAAGAATTAATATATAGGTTATTTCTATGATTGTAACTAGCTCTTATGGTGGGCTATGGTGGTGAATCGATTTACTGCCATTTCCTCATATGCTTCTTTTATTGTTTGGCTTAGAGTAATTTCAACTTGGTTTTTTTTTTTTTTAAACTTTTTTTTAGTGGTATGTGCTTAACACTAATTTTACATCTGAATTAGGAGTGATATTGGGGTGCTTTACTTCTCTTCTTTTGTTGTAAAAACTGTCTTGTAATTAGGAATATCTATAGCTTGATCCTCTTGCACACCATGACTAGTGGAGACTTGTCATCTATAAAGTATACAAAAAGATTTGTTCCCCCCTAAATGGTGAAGTATATACAAAGATTCCTCATATTGTGATTGCAACTTGTTTCGATTTGACGCTTTGATTATATATCCTAATTATGTTGTGTCCACATAGTGGTATCATACACTGTGCATGGTTAGGGGATTTGAAGTGACTAAAGGTTTTTGCGGAGTGAAAATGGCACAGTTGACGCGATTGAACCCTAGTTGATGATGATTTGTGTTTATTGGTAGTGCATTGGAGACACTGATATGCTTTTTGAGTTTTCAGAGAAAAGGAAACCTTTTGAAATGCCATTTCAAATAACTTCTTATCCGGTGGTTTTATACTATCTTCTTCATCATCAATTGGGGATCATACTCTTTGCATGGTTGGGAAATTTGAAGGGATTGAAGGTTTTTCCGGAGTGAAAATGGCAGAGTTGACTCGAATGAACCCCCAATTGATGATGATTTGTGTTTACTGGTAGTGCATTGGAGACACTGATATCCTTTTCGGAGAACACAAAACCTTTTGAAATGCCATTTCAAATAACCTCTTGTCCATTGGTTTTTATATCGTCTTCGTCATCATCCTTTTCTACTTGAGATGTAATGTTGATTTCTACTTTTTCAAGGAAGCAAGCTCTATTGGTGATTTGGCTTTGCTCATGGAGGTTAAAGTTGATGGCTTAGTAGTTAATGTACTGGTAAAGATTAAAACAAGGGAAAGAAATAATAAATACACTGCATAGAACATTAGCTTACACTCATATGATAAACGTTTTTCTTAGGAAAAAAATATTATAGTGATTTTGTTTCGTCTTTGCTTTTGTAAATTTGTTCTGCTCCAACTTGTCATGAGCTGAGGACATGTATTTACACATGTATATATACATATATATTAAATAATAATTATGCAGTCCCAGTTTGAGATCAAATAGGAAACAACAGTTTTCTGAAGTGTGGAAAGAGAGAGCACTCCCTTTTCATCTTGAAAATTTCATGTTAGAAAATAACAGATATATAAGAGCCTTGTCACCGGATTGCAATGGCAAAAATAATTCTAGATGGAGACCGAACAACAATGATTTGTATGTGTTGAGACCAAATCTAAGGCTTTCCATTTGACAGCAATATATATTGATTTTTACAAGGTTATGCTAAGAATAATAACATTGATGCTTATATTCAGCAATAATCATATTTATGGAGTTCCAATTTGAGGCACCTCCGTTTGCTGAGATTGAGTTCGACTCTTTTTCTTACTATGCTTTATCTCGCCGTAGAAGTAAGAAACAAATCCCCAAAGAGAGAGGACAAGAGCGACCCCTTTTTCTGCTTGGAACTTTTCGTGGTAGAATATAACAGCTAAGATCTCGGTGGCTGGGAGTAGAACAGCAATTAAAACTCCAGACAGCAAAGATGAAGCGCAGAAGATGACTCCTATTACTCCCAAGAAGAAACCCTGCCAAATTATGGCACTGAATACCAGTATCACATAATACCTTGTTTCACCGAGTTCATACTCTCTTGCTTCCCTTGGAATTGCCTACAAAATACAAATACAGCCATACAGGTGAGTTAACAGTCTCAATTTGTTGAATGCTTCATCTTTCTTACAAGTTAATTCTTGTATGTAATATTCAATAAAACTTGTGAAAACCTTGTTTTGATGTATTGTTATTTTGTTCTTTGTTTGCACTTTGTTTGTTGAGTAGTTTCAAAGAACTTTTGAGTCCCACTTTGTTGCATCAAAGGGCAGGCGTTCTCTTGGACCAACAGTTTGGCGCAAGTCATCGGTTAGTAAATCATTATTCTTGGTTATGTTTTGGCTTGTATTCGGTGCGAAATCACTGTCACAGATTCAACCCACCCACCCTTCCCACTTTGTTGCATCAAAGGGCAGGCGTTCTCTTGGACCAACAGTTTGGCGCAAGTCATCGGTTAGTAAATCATTATTCTTGGTTATGTTTTGGCTTGTATTCGGTGCGAAATCACTGTCACAGATTCAACCCACCCACCCTGGGGATTGTGTAAAGTCACTTTTCGAAAGAAGTGGATACAATTTCTCCATTTTCTTGTACCTACTATTAATACCACTCCTTACCCTCCCCTTGTTATTGGGTTCTCTGAAGTTGCTTTTAGAAAGAAGTGGTCTGACATGCTCCATTTTCTTGTATTGTACTACTAGCTAGGATTTTGTCTATTTTAGCTTTTGAATCCCCAAATGTCCTAAAGTCGCTTCTCGTTGATTCCCAACCCCAACCCCAACCCAAAATAAATAAATATATATAAAAATAAATAATCTCTTTAGGCCAGCTCGAGTAGGGATGGCAACAGAACGGGTTTGCCTAAACCCGTGCCCGCCCCATTTATTTATTGACAACTCCATACCCACCCCGTACCCGTAACGGGTTGAATTTTCATTATCCATCCCCGCCCCGTTGGGAAATGATTATACCCGTGCTTGCCCCGTCCCGCCTTGTTTAGGATTTTATTTATTTATTTTTATTATTTTGGATTTTGGAATGTTAAGCAATTTATAAATGTGTAACAGTTTCATAGGTTTCAACCACAGCTTGAAACAGCAGGCAAAGGGCACAAAAAGAAAATTAAAAATGCAAGGAAGTCGGTCCATGCCAATAGGGGGTTAGTGTTGAGGTTAATCCAAGTTATAAGACACATATATACACATAAAAAAATATATATAATTTAAAAAAAGAAAAAATATATAAGGCAGGGCGGGGCGGGTGTTCATCAAAATACATCCCTGCCCCGTGACCTTTGGCGGGTTTCAATTTTGTACCCATATCCGCCCCTATGGTATAAAAAGGGTTCCCATACCCGTGATTAACGGGGCGGGATGGGTGGTACAAATTGCCATCCCTAAGCTTGAGTATTTGGAACATGTATATACCATACTTATTTATCATAGTACTATTGTAAAGACCTTTTTTTTGGTAGCTATTGGAGCCTGTGATTGTGTGAGGCATTGAAGTATGTGTTAATTAATAAGCACACCTACATAAATTGCATTGGCATGGAAACACAAGTAGAAAGACCTTGGGTTCATCAGTTAGAATATAAACAGGCAGGCATATATGGGAGAGAAAACGGTAAAATATGCATCTGTGTATGTGTGTGTGTGTCTATATATGATTACAACACCGATGGCAGTTGCCAAAACCATAGGCCGAGATTCCCAACTCTATGCAACCAAGGGCTGAGATACACTCAGGCTCATGGTTTCGGCAACTCCCAGTCAGTTGGAGTAGCATGGTTCTTTTCCCAGAGAGAGATTGCATATTTACCTTGAAGTCATTGTTAATAAGCATGCCTACTGTGCAGAAAGCAGTAGCAAAGAAACACATGACCATCTGAATCTCCATCACCAGTGTGTAGGTAATTGCCTGCTTTGCCTTGTTGTATGTCAACTCCACCAGCGGTAGAATGAATCCGTAGAGCGCTGCAGCTAAAAGTGTCATGAAAAACCCTAGATAATACTGCTTATCGGACTCACCCTCTGGACGGTCACTGCTTGTGTGGAGGGCCAAAACTGCAGCTCCAACACTCAGCAAGACGATTGCGTTTATCGAATATGCAGTGAACTTCTGCTTAACAAGAAGGAAGGCAAAGCCTGCTGTGAAGGCCAGATGGCTAGCAATGATTAGAGTCAATGTTGAAAGAGGCAGGCGCTTCACACCATAGGCGTAGAAGTAGTCGTCAGCGCCAGTGAGGATGCCGATGACGGCAGAAGCGAAGAACAGGCGAGGTTTCATGAAGAAGAGCTTGGCGGTGGAGCCTTCCTTGGCATGGCGCTGCATGTAGGTGATGATGAGGGGGATGAAGATGACTGGCCAACCGCCGGTCTCTAGCCAGCTCGACAGCCATAGTCTTTTACCGCCTTTGATGAAGTATAGGCGCATGATCAACGGACCGCCACAGTTGCCGATGGAGAGCAGGATGCAGTTCAGCACCAGGAGGGCCTTCTTCATGCTGGGGCTAGCATGAGCCTCCATATTGACTGGTTAGCTCTCTCTCTCTCAATTTCAGATAAGAGAGCAAGTAGAAGTAGGAAAGATAAGATGGCCAACCAAAAAAACTAACACTATTTAAGATAGATGTAACATTTGTGTGTATCTTTTTATACCTTTCAAAGCACGTGTTGCAGTCTAGTGATATCTTCTCTACCTTTTCAAAGTGAAATGTTTAGGGTTCAAGTGGGAACATACGCGGACACAGGCATAGAAAGTGTTGCTACAAGCGCATGATACAAGTGAGTGTGGTAAATATGTCAGTTTCAAGACACACTAGACCATGTACCAAAGTTGTGTGATCTTTTACCAGCTGGGAGTGTACGAAACCTATCATTCCAAGCCCACGACATTGTAGACCAAACAGTCTCTCTACACATCCCAACAACAGATCTAGAAATGTGGTTGCCATTGGTGTCTTAATGCATAGTTGTGTGAAGTGAAGGCATATATATGGTGGGTATACACAAAATTTGATGGACCATAGTTGCCAATTTTGACCTTAATTAATGGACACAACCAAAGTCTACGTATGTTTTTGTATACTTTTGCTCCTCTTGGGTCCAAATTGTCACATCTTCTTGTCATCTTTATTGACCCGAATGTTACAGCCATCTCTAATTTATTGCCATTGCATAGATTGGATAAACATATGTATAATCATTCGCATGTATTTTTATTTCATTTGCATCATTGACTGCAATGGAGATCAGATCATTTTCTCGGAAATTTTTTCTTTCCAGTAACTTTGGGCTACCATTATAATGAAAAATTTCTGGCTTTTTCATTGCTATATGGTTGTCCTAGGTCTAAGTAGCTAGTCATTGATGTTGACGACAATCCAAAACATGTGCATTGAATATAATGAATCACTAATTTCAACGTACAAGTCCTGTTGCAGAACTTTATTTGTTGAATATGATGAACTGAATGTCAACTTTATTGTGGAATTCTAGTTGTTGTGTCGGATAATATTAGCAGCATATCATTGGTTAAGATTATTAATTATAGTAGTAATTACTACATTGTATTGTTTTATGAGTTGCAATCAAAGCAAGGCCTAAAATACTATTTCAGTTTTCTGAGAGGCACAAGGCACAAGGCACAAGGCACGGTTGCAATCGAGGCGAGCTGTGTTAAGAATTTATTAGTTGTTTGTACATACCTCATTTTAATTCGCCCCTGATATTCTCAATGAATTATATTGCTTGATGTTTGATAATGCATTTTGAAAAGGGTGATGATATTCATACTCTATTTTTCTAAGTTTAAACTCCTATCTTAAAAGAATTGATATTTTTAACCCTAACTTTACAAGTAAATTATTAAATTTTTTTGAATTACACAACTATCTGTTCAGTTATGAAATGATCTTGTTGTCTCCCCATAACTCTCCCTCCAACTTTAAAGTTTTCAGTCTCTTTTGACATGACCCAAAAAAAGACCAAGGTATATATTAGCGGGTGTGTGAGGGTTAGAGTCTCTAAAGGATAGTGAGGGTTCGAGTCTTTAGAGGAGTAAAGTTGGTGTGTGTAAGTTTTTAGTAAAAAAAAAAAAGTTGAAATTTATAATATAAAGGGGAGTTATAATATTAAAAAATAAGAAATGACTCATTAATGAGTTTAGGGATTATACAAAAAGGGAGTGCAAATATCACCTCTTTGAATATTACATATTTATAAAAACGTAATAGACGGTTCATTGTTTATTACTTTGACCTTTCTTGAACCAGCTTGAAAGTGAGTTAGTACTGTCATTATATTATAGTAATATATTATAGGAAGCCAATATTTGTGCTCAAATTGCACTCCAATTACCTTTTTCTTTTAAGGAAAAGGCAAAAGAACAAAAAACCTTCCTAAACTATACAATTATTGCATAATGCCCTCCTGAACTGTTTTTGTGAGCAAGTTGCCCTCCTCAATTATTAAAAGCAAGCAGAATGCCCCCTTTAAGACCATCGGATACAACTTGCCAACCGGCAAAGTGATATAATTTCTAATTTACCTTAGTTATTAATTTATTATAAAAAATATAAAATTCATGAATGTGAAATACCAATAATGCCCTCGTATTTTTATTTATTTATTTTCTTCTTCACTCTTCCGTGCCGCAGAAAGCCGAAGCCAATAATTGCCGATGTGTGTCTGTTGATGGAATTCAGAGAAGCCCAATTCAGAAAATGAAGACGAGATCTGAAGAAGCTAAGCAGCTCAGTGTGTCCGTTGATGGAATTCAGAGAAGCCCAATTCAGAAAATGAAGACAAGATTTGAAGAAGCTATGCAGGTCAGTGTGTCTGTTGATGGAATTCAAAGAAACCCAATTCAGAGTAGAAACCTAAAATCTGAATCATATGAGGAGGTTAGTGAATTCGGTGATGGAATTAAAAGGAATTCAATTTAGTTGAGGAAGGCGAAATCAGAGTCCAATAAGCTTATGGATGAATCCAGTGATGGAAATCGGAGGAATTCATCTCAATTGAGGAAGATGAAATCGGAGTCGAATAAGACTTTGGATGAGTCTGGTAAAAAGACTCTAGATAGCTTGGGGGATGGAAATGAGAGGAATTTAGCTGAGCTAAGGAGGCTAAACTGAAGTCTGATAAGGTTGTGGATGAGTCTAATAATGGTGTTGATGGGTTGTTGAGGGAATTGAGAAGAACCCAGTTGTAGTAGGTGGTTTTTTTTTGTTTTTGTTTTTTTTTTTGGCAAAGAAAAGAACCAAAAAGAGAACAAGAAACCACCAAACTAAGGAACTAGACCTAGCGCATCATCCTGAGCTAAAGCCACAATCCGAACCGGAATAGGAACCAACACCTGATCTTCAGCCAAACAGACACAAGACAAAACCGCAAGGGCATGAGCCACCCGATTACCTGATCTACGAACATGATAAATAGAAACAGAAGAAAAATATTTAAGGTCCTCCTTGATATCAAAACAAAGAGTTGCAATCTCAGAAGGACAATCTGATTTCCCCACCACAGCATTGACAACAACTCTGGCATCCAATTCAAAACACAAACAATTATAGCCCAATGAGGATGCCCAAAAAAAGCATGCTGAAATGCATGAGCCTCTGTTACCAATTCCGAGGAAGCAAAGAAAGGTTTAAAAACCACAGCATGAAGTATAAAACCTTGAAAATCCCAAAACACGGCGCCACCACTACCACGACAAGAGCCTGGAACAAAACTGGCATCAATATTACATTTAAAAAACCTATAGTTAGAAGGCACCCAACAATTCAAAGAGGGTTGGGAAAGAGCATTATCCAATTTTTTGCATTGGAATTTAGCCTCCCTAAATTCCCAAAAACTTGCAATCGCCTTCTCCACCACCTTTCCCGGGCTCCATAAAACCTCCTCAAACACCATTCGATTCCTAGCCTTCCAAATACACCAAACACAAAACGAAATCAAACCGAGAACAACCGATTTATCAGGTGAGGAAGCAGCCTGGTTCACCAAAAACTTCCAACCATCCAAAAACGATTGAAAAGAAGAGCAAGAAAAATCAAATCGAAACGGAGACAACTTCCACACCTGAACAGTATGCAAACAAGTAAACAAAAGATGCACAATCGATTCGTTCGCCAAACCACACCGAGGACATAAGAGGGACACCACACATCCGCGGTAAAAAAGAGAGACACTCGGGTAGGTAGAGCATTATGACAACATCGCCACAGAAAATGCTGCACTTTAGATAATGTTTGGCAACGCCATATTGAATTCCAAGAGATGGGTGACGTTCATCCTGCAAACGAATCAACAAAGGTTTTAGCAAGAAAATAAGCCGAACGCACAGAAAACTTACCGGATGCCTCAGGAGCCCAAATTTGAACGTCCGGTTGATCCCAATGAGATATATACATCCGTAAAATTGTTTGAACTTCAAGAGAAGAAAACAGCTGAGATAAAACCTCCACCTTCCATGTCTTAGTGGACGGATTAATTAAATCAGCAACATAACAAAATGAGACATCCACAGATGGAGGTAGGAGCTTATGAGGTAACGAAAGAACCCAATGGTCCTGCCAGATTTGAATAGATTTACCATCGCCAAGCCTCCACCTCAATCCGCGATCTAAAATAGCTTGTGTGGACCATATACTACGCCATCCCCAGGAGGGATTAGAGCCTAACGGAGCTTCCAAGAACGAACACGAAGAAAAATATTTCACTTCAAGTAACTGAGAAGCCTGCCCTGTCCGACGTACTTGGAAATTCCAAGCATGTTTCATTAAAAACGCCAAATTAAAAGCTTCAAGGTCCTGAAATCCAAGGCCACCCCTCTTCTTACTCAGACAAAGAGCATCCCAGTGAATCCAATGAATGGAGCGAGATTTCTCTTTACTACACCACTAGAAGGATCTAATATGCTGCATCAACTCAAGACACAACGTACGGGAAAACTTGAAAGAGGACATTACATATGTAGGTAGAGCACTCAATATGGCTTTAATCAACACCTCTTTTCCACTAGCAGACAACGTTTTGGCCTTCCAAGAAATGAGCCTCTCTTGCAATTTAGACAATAAAAACTGAAAAACATATCTCTTTGACCTTCCAACAATAGCTGGCTGAGGAGGCCCCGGATGACATGGGCCAGATCCGATTCGCAAACACAACATTCAGTCCGTACAGCTGGGCCAGCCCATAGAAGGACACTGCCATATGGGCCGAACGAGAATAAGCCCATCAAAGGTGACCAAGGCTTACGGAGGAAGAGGCCCAGATCCAGCAATCAGTAAATATCTTGTAAATATCTTGTAAATATCTGGAAAAGATCTATAAATAGGAGATGGAATGAAATGGAAGGGGATCTTTTTGGGTTGAGGTGTAAGAATTCTAGAGAGAGAAGGAGGAGAAGGAATTTCTTGCATCTTCAATTGGCGCCGTCTGTGGGAAGCGCATGGAAGTTTGGTTGATCAATGAGGAATATCGAATGGATTCAAACCAATTCGGTTGATCGAGACTCGATCTTTGGGATTTGAATCCAGAGCTGGGCGATTGTGACCTACTCTGGAGGAATTACAATTCTTGAAGCTTTGGACTGACTTCAGATCTACGAGTTGTTCGATTGTGGCAGGATCTGACGGATTTAGAGTTCAGACAATTCAGATCTCGTAAACAGTGAGCATAATTCGGAGAATTAGAAGCCAGATCTAAAAATTCCTACTCACGAAGCTCAGATCTACTCGCGAACTTGAGATTAATGCCTTTACTCCGTTCGGGAATAATGATAGGTGAAAGCTCCAATCCGATGGAGGCTGTCCAGCAAACAAAGCTTGAAGAGTTGATGAACTTGATTGAAGCTCTCAGAAAAGAAAAT